TTTAACCGCTCTGGGGTTTCTGTTCTCCCCCTTAGATGATCCCTGCTGGTGCCTCGTGTGGGCTGTGGAGCAGCGCGATGGCTGTGTTTGCAGCAAAACGCCGACAGAGCTGGAGGGCTGGGAAATGCTGGAGAAAACCCCCCAGCACTGAGGGAAAACGCACCCGCGGCCAGCGCACCGTCGCAGCCTTCGCTTCACCTCCCGTTCCACCTGCATCGAAAGCCACTGGCGCGCAGTGGCTTTAGCACAGCCCAAAAGCAATGTGTGCCTTCTCCCGCTCGTCCAGCTCCAGTACAGCTGATGGAAGTGCCAACGTGGGGTTTCAATCTGGCGGGTCTCTATCGCAAAGCTATTACTTGTGTCATTGTTACTTCACTTCCTGCACATAGCGCTTTTGTTTCAGAGTCAACAGTCCTGGCAACTGGATCTGTGCCTGGAGGATAAAAACTGTAGTTGAGAGCAGGGATCGGACACGATCAAGTAACGGTGTCATCTTCTCAAGCCTTGTGTACAACATAGCTCACCACTGTGCTCATTGCACACGATCCTTCCTAGACACAACAGAAATACCAAAAGATTCTATGATGATCCAACAGCAATTTTTTGTGTTTGAAGAGCACGTTTCAAATAACTGTTTGAACACATTATGCACGGTATTGCTTTACAGGCATAGTTTTTTCCTGACTTCACCATTAAGCGATCTTTGAAAAGTTGCTCTGCCTCCTATCTCAGTTTTCTGTGCCTGCTGGATAAACAGCGAAACCAGGACTGGGCCCAGACCCAGGACAGCCACAGACTGTCGTTTCTAGACATATCATGAACCAGGATCCGTCTCATTTTTCACAGCTCAATGACAAATGTGTACGACTTTGCTACAGAGCTAACTTACACCACTGCTTTATGGGTGCTATTGATCACCTTGAGTAACTAGTTGAATTTCTGAACAACAGAGATCAGATTTCAAACTTCTGCTATGTTTTGCATCTGGAGAATCAGCAATCTCATCTTTTGTTGAGGATTTGCCTGGGCAGGAAGCCATCTTATTACAGCCTCTCTTTAAAACCCCAGCGCCTTCTGGTTTGGGTTGAAATCACTCGTACGTGCTTCTGAAGACACGCAGAAATTGTAAGACTTGTGGTGCTCCCTGTTTGCGTTGTGATGGCACCATACCAAGAGCAGTGCACCAGATGGTACAGACGCAATAGAAAGTCCACCCCCCATTGGCCTACCAAAAAGCAAAAATACACTTATAATCACTTCAGAATTAACGTTCTCCATTTATTGATCGTCTAGTTTCAATAAGCATTTTCTAGGCATCACAGCAGGAAAGAATTTCAGAATGACAGCTTAACAGCCCTTCTGATTTTTACAAAGACCTTCTCTGATGCATAAGGGGCAGCCTGAAGAAATATAAAAAAGGAATTAGGATGGCCGTACTACTTTGATATTTATTAAAATTCCACGCTTTTCTTTTCCTTTTCCCCCAGTGATGTGGTGTTATCTGGAAAGCAGGCCACCATGTGTTGGGGGAAAAAAACAGCACAAAAACTCAGCCATAATTACAAACCTCCAGAGAACTAGAAAAAGTATAACTGATCATCCAGTATGCTGACAGCCTACATAAACCAAACTATATACAAGATCTCAAGTACAAGTGAAACTGAGTAAGAATGCTGGTTTACATCATTGTTCAACAAGCGTTGTAGTACTACTTATATGTACTGCATCCCTTCAGTGGTGTTCCTATCTTGAGGCCAAGCAGATATTTCTGGTTATATTAGTAACTGTCACAGCCAGATCCCTTTCGCATGTGGGGCAAGAGCAAACAAAAAGCCAACTGCCATCACAGAAAAGTTAAATAGGCCCTTTCTGTGCCTGCCAGGGGCTTTCTACAACCTGGACATTTGGCACCAGACCCGTAGCTGCCACTTTGAGTCACTGGGCATTAGCCATACCTGCAGCTTGGATGTCTTACCAGTATCTCACAGCTACGCTCCTTCCTTTGAATATCTGGGTCATGTGAAATCACAAACCATCTGAGTAAGCCAAACAGAAGTGGGTTTATATCTGAATAATTTAGAAAGAGGGGAACCAACACTGCTGTGGAATTAACAGTTCTTCCATACCACCAATGCAAGACTAACATTTCCAGGCCTACCCCTTAAAGAACAAACAAGCAGTGCTTCTGCTGAGCAGATGAAAAAAGTTTTAAACTATTTTGTGAGGTTTACAGATGACTCAGTTGTGAAGGATATGTGTTACTTTGGAAGACAAAACAGAGAATACTGTTGCAGCAAGTACTGATTATCTTGAATTGCTGCCAGCTCTTTAGATACACTGTGGGAAGGGAAAAGGAAGGGCAGCCTGTGGGAAGAAGTCCTCTGCTAGGTTTAGGAAAAGTAGGTTCTTCCCAATGTTCTGTTTATTGAAAGAACAGCACCATGCCACTGAGATTCTGCACAGTCCCACCTCTTCAGTAAGTGAAAAAGGGCAGCCAGCTGGTGGGCAAGAAACCTCCTCTCATGCAATTTTAGACAAGCACTCAAACGGGAACTAAAATCACCTCTTGTGTCTGGGCACTAATAGCCCTGAAGTACTGCATACATCTGCCTGCCTGAGCAGGCTAGCCAATTAAAAGCAAATTTAACTAAGGATTTCTCAAAATAATTAGTTACAAAATATGTAAATGTGGACATTAAACACATGTATGTTTATCTAAACCACCTGTAGAAAGAAGTAATACCTTTACTTGTAAGTCACCTTACACTTAATAAATGGCTTTTTTTGTCCCCTATGGCTGTCTTGCCACTAATAACTGTCATCTCCTTCCACCCCAGCCCACCCCTCAGGAAATCTGTATTATATGTCTTTTAGTATATGCGTGTCATACAGCAACCTGAAACAGAGTGCAGCCAGCTAGCAACTGAGAGTCATCTCTTAAGAAGCCTTCAGTACTAACACTGGAACTCTTCATTTATTAGTGGGTTACTCTGTGCTGTTAAAAGCTGTGGTAAACCTGTGACAGAGCAGAGAACAGTCAAGTAGTTGCAAGTTCCTTTATAAAGTTTCTTTGGTAGAAAGGTATTTCACATAGGATTGGAAAACTTGTTACCAGATACTCTGAGATTAGTATTTGCTCACTGGAGGGCCAGAGATGCTTACAATAGGAAGAAAGGTGTGTGTTTTGTTTACTTTTTAATTATTTCAGGATTAAATACAGTCTGTCAAATTCAACAAATGGTTGCTGATGTATGTTGTTGAAGATGCTCAGGCAAGTTGTGCTCCAGCTGCAGTTACCCTTCCTATTTAGATACTCAAGACAGCCAGTTTGACACATTATTATTGGAAAAAATTATATTTTGGAAGAACTCACTACAGAAGGTGACAGAATTCCAAAAAAATCAAATTACATGAAAATATACATCGCAATTTTCTTTGTACATTAGGTGAGGAAAATTCTGAAGTAGAAGGCAAAGAATATGAAGGGCCACAGAAGAGAGAAAAGGGAAAAGGAGGGAAACTATTTTTGATAACAAACCCAGAAGTTAGTTATTTGAAAGCCTACAATGTGCATGCTTGAACTCAACCTTGAGAAAAAACAAGCCTCCCCCACACACACCCCACCCCACAAACAGGCAATGAAAAAGGCAAAAAAAAATAAAATGAAATCACCCATAAAAGCAGCTCATTCCTATCTTGGACTAACTTAGTCAACTGAACTTCCAAATTAAAGCACTCAAGTCCCTTGGAAGTTCAAAATCCAGCAGGCTGCTCAAGGGTGCTCCATGGCCAGTTTTATTGCTATACCCAATTCAAGAATATGTGCAATTGGGTTAAAAAAAGGGGTGGGAAGAAAGGGGGGAGGGGGAAGCACCTTTGAGACTACAAAGGTCATCATAAAAGAAGACACAAGGAATTGAAAGCAAATCCTTTCAGGGTTTAATTAGGAAAATTTTAAGTTCTGATGAGGGAAATAAAAGGGAGCACATTTCCAAAAAACCAAAAAATACTAAACTTTAATAAGCAAGAGATTTTAATTAAGCCTCAGTGGGTCAAAGGAAGATTAAAAGTGGAGGTGGGGGGGGGAAAAACAACTTTATCCTAATTGGTTTTAGTTTGACATGCTTCACAAGTTGTTGGTTTGTTTCTGTGGGGTTCTGTTTGTTTGTTTTAACCGATAGGAAACAATGAATAGGGAGAGAAAAACCTGCTAAAATCTTTAGAATTTACACGATTCTACTCCTAACTACAGACAGCATTATTTGGTACAATGTGTATTTGTGGATGTACATGAACAGTATATATATTATCCGGATCATGTTGTGCTATGTACACATCTTTACAATTCTTCCTGAAGGTTAAAGCAGTTCATTAGATTTCAAAATGCGTAATCATCTTGTGTTGGCACTCGTTAGGCTCTTGTCAGCATTGATAACTGGCATGTTTTATTGCAGCCCAGTTCCAGCCAGTGTTTGCCAACTTGTAACAACAGAAGTCCAGCAATAGTTGGGTAGAGTGCAGGAAAAGAAAAACAGTGCCATGTTTCTCAATTGGAGACCTACAAAGAAATCACAGTTATTAAAATAACACTCCTCATCAGCCTCAATTACTTTAAAGATGTTCAATAGTGTTTCAAGCTCAAGGAAGATAATCATTTCTTGAACAACAACTTTACATACCTCTAAACAGAAGAAGCATAAATCCAAAATCGTCACCTAAGACCTGAGTTAGTTGAGCTTGGATACACAGTATGCTGAACTATCAGACTTTCAGGCTCCTGTTACTCATGTTGCTTATCAAGTATGCAGTATGTAAACCTTCAATTATTCACACACAGGGCTAAACATTTGTAGATACATCATTTAAACTTCTGTGCATCACTTTTGTGACTGATGGATCCTGCTTCAACAGTGAAGTGCAGTACAAAAATGGCACTGCAGTGCTTCATTAAGTAATACCACCACAGCTACCAAGTCACACTGCTTGTTTGAAACCAGCTATATGGCCCCTCCTCATCCAATTCATTGCCCATCACTTACTTAAGAGGAGTCACCAGGACTTAGAAAAGCTTTTGCCTTCCAAAAAAGCAACACAGCCAATTACTGAAATATTTGTCACGCGCATTGTTTCACTATAGCCAAGTTTAACATGGCAACAGAACTGAGGTTAGTTAAGGATACTCTGGAGCGTTACTCACAGTTACTCCCTTTCTCCAAGACAGAGAAAACTGTCAGCTGCATTAACAATTCTTACATTCTAGATATAAGCAGTTGTATAAAACATTAAGTTCCTTTTAGTCTTTTGATCTGTACTAAGCATTTTCATGCTTTCTCTATACTAGAGAAGTTCCATTCAATCAAAGCATTTCTGCAGAGACAATATACTGCAGTACTAGTTTGTCACAGATGAAGCTTTCTCCCACCCCCAACATCCTTACAAAAGTGTTAAGAAAGGAAGTATCTCCTGTACAACCCTGGCGAAGAAAAACTAACTAGCATTTAGTAAGCTGTTCTAGTTGTTCAGACAGTACAACCTCTTCAAACAACACAGTATCGTATTTCCCCCCACCCCGAGTTTTGTATGCTGAAGCTAACTAGTACATATGGTTTTGGGCTTCTCCAGCCAAGCGGGTCAGAGGAGTTTATTTGCCAAACCAACCATTAAGAAAGAGCAGCTTCAACATGAAGCTCTGTTTTGCTTTGAAAAGCAAAAGTGGGAAATTATTATCTAGTTGAGGAAGTTCTTCCTTGGCATACAAGGATTAAAATGACCAAAGGCCAGGTATTTAAGGGCTACGTTTTAATAGGGAGCTTTCTACAAGAGCTTATTCTTTATAAAAAAGTCCCATTAAAACTAGGATGGGATTGTTCAAATCAGAGAAAGTATCTTGAGTCAGAAGCTCACTTTTAACAGGTTGGCATAAAGTGTAATATCACATCAGCTACTCTCAGGTCAAAACTTGTCCAGGCTCTCAGATACGCTACAGTTCAGCTTCCAAGCAGAATATAGCTGGTTTTCTGAAGCTATTCCTAAGCCTTCCCCAATAAAAAGAGTTTTTCAGGCTGCTGAAGAGAAAGCACTTTTCTTGATATTATTGATGGGCAATATCTCAACTTGATCTTTTCTGATACGCTACTAGATTTTCTATTAAAATTCCCTGTAGGTACCTGAAGCAATCCTTTTCTAATGGTTCCTAACAACCTCACTGAAGTCTTATTTAAAATCTACATGCAACATGCCACCAACATCTGCAAGATAAACTACATATATATATGAACTTAAGATAGCAAGACAGGATGCTTTTAAGATTCAAACAAGTGTTCTTGACAATAATGAACATGAATCATTACTCACGTCTATTACAGCTCCAGTAACCCCTAAGCACTCTTAATAAAGCAGGATGAATACTGATAAAGAGAATTTCAACTTCTGAACAGCACAAATGCAAGAGTACTAGAGAAGTTCCCCAATCTTGACAGAAGGGGCTGTTACTGCACTTGAAAATTCTTTTAGTCTTTAGTATCGCATCCAGCCAAAGAACTCCACTGAGACCATGCATCTGAGAAGAAAGGTTTGGGTTTTTTGGCTTTTGAGGGGAAAAAAATTAGTTCAGCAACACTTAGGCAGGAAATGCTCAACTTGAGTAACTGACTTGTCTGTAGAAGGATACTTACCCTGAAAAAAGTGAAGCTACTAGCTGCTGAATAAGTGTCACTCAAAAGCAGTTTCTTGGCTTTTTCTTACACAGCGGGCAACTTTTCTTTTAAATTCTCCATTTCTGTCTTCTCTCCATTCTTTCTGTAATTGAATAGACAGCTTTCAGATGTCAGTCCTACAACAAGGTACAAGTTCTTGGAAGACTCTTGGTGCTTATGTTTACAGACATTAGCCATCTAGTCAACACCTAAATTTGCTTACAATCATTGAGTCACTGAAAACCTGTGACATTCAGGACTTTTGAAAGCTTGCTCTAGGTTTCTATGCAAGCTGCTCACAAGACAGTGAGGACGCAACCTTTCCCCCTTGGATTTTAGGCATTCTCCAAGACTAACCTGGTGGCTGCTAATATTTCACAATGTCTAGCTTGAAATCTATTCACTTCAGCCTGCAAAGCAGCAGCAAACTCCAACTGTAGACCACAGAAAATGTCTTTAACCACAGTGATGAAAAACAGTACACTGCTACTGTGGAGCCAGTAGTTATTCTGCGATTTTTAGGTCAGTTTCAACTCCCTCTCAATCTAGCCAGGACACTCCAGGATACGAATACAGAAGTGACAGTGTTCAGAAGAGGCACAGCAGTATCCTTAGAAAGAAAACACCTCCTAGTTAGATATGGCTGCAAGATATTGGCTCCATACAGAACACCTTAACAGAAGACTCAGCACACCTATGGGGATGGTCTCTGGAACAGGGATCTGACTTCAGAACTGCATAGACAAAGATAGAGATGAACAGGAAGACAGGCAAGAGGTAAGTTTGAACGTGGAGATGTGCACACCACAGTATCACCAAAACCCACAGAAAAAAGCGCAGCCAGTTTTAAGGTTTTTGTGCCAGCCTCATGATGAGCTCAGATGAAAGCATAGGAGCTTCATACACTGTGACTAAGGCTGACATGCTGGGTACTGGCAAAGAAGTGGTGCGAAAATATGAAGAACACCTTATTTAATGGAGTAAGTTCTACAGTTCTTAGTTTTTTATATAAGCAATGTATTCTTACTGCAGGGGTGAGGGAAGGCATTTAAAAAAAAAAGCACAAACCCACACTGTTTTACCTGAAGCAACCTATCACAAACCACCTTTTCACCCCCTACTTGGCATGAAGGTTGTACCACATTTGAGTGGGAGAAAATTAGCATAACTGGCATATCCTAACATTCACCACCTCACAGCTCACCTAGCCAGTCAGCATGTTGGAAAGCCCAGCCTGTCTTATTTATGCTTTCACTGGAAAGATAAGACTAGTAATCAATTTGTTCTTTTTCAGCAATTAATACAGCAAGCATTTGGTTCCTTCAATTGGGACATAGGACAGCTTACACAAGATGGCTTAAGGCCAAGGAAAGCATTGAATTTGTGCCCTCTTATCTTCAGATTCTTAGTTTTTGGTTACTGCCTTTTATATTTGTAGTTCTAAGCAGCAAGTATTCAGAATTGAATAGCAAGCAAAGTTTCCAATTTGACAGCAACCTCTCATCATGAACTGTTCTATTTGCTTCTCACAACATCTATTCAGGCTCCTGTCCTTCATTTTTCTCCCACTCCAAGAGACAGTACTCCAGCACGCATAGTTCATTTTTCCAGGAAGCGGGTATATCCCCTGCTCCTACAAAACCGCAGCCTGCCTCTAACACTTTATTCCTCTAGACTCACTTAAACCTAGAAATTAATGAAAGCAGACAAAGTATCTTTTAATAACTGTCAAATACTGTTGCTGCAGTAAACTTGTACTTTATAAACCAAGTAGAAGATGCCTTGGAATAGATAGCAGCTTGGAATAAAGCACACGAGCTGCTGATTCTTCATTACATCAGTGATGCCTCAGTAGCGTCTTCACAGTTGGATTTGGATTTAAGTTTTCATTCCTTCAAGCTGGGCTAGAAAATGCTGTGTTTCCTTAAGACATTTTCAACTTCTACTCTAAGGTTTAAGAAAACTATCAATTTGTTTACCATCTAAACCAAAAAAAAAACCCCACTCGCTCCTGAAGAGGCTGGCAGAGTGGGACACACTACAGAAATATTAGCTTTTTAGCTTGTGAGACAGTAGGGAATTGACAAGCATAGCTAAAAGTATAAGCTTTCTCCAGTGTTAAGTCAGCTACATTCAACAAACATGAGTCTGTAAACTGAGGAATTCTAATTGTACTTTTAGCATTTCACTAATAACTTGTTCCTTACAGTGAGCTCAGGTTTGCCAGCAAAAGACGTCCATGTGTCCTGGGTATTTGTTTCCACCAGTAACGTGGCTCAAGAAGGTGAGGTCTGACACTCAAGAGAATGTTAAATGGGGGAATTCTTCACTACAACATTTTGTGTTTGTTTTTCTTACCATTAAATTTGTTCCACATGAGACTATTCCCATGATGATTTTTCAGCAGAGCTCAACCACCTTTGGAAATGCTAACAGCATAGTAGATCAAAGGCTTCAAGAAAATAAACTCCCACCCACTTTGGGAAGGTATAGCTAGCTTGACAGAGCAGGTTAAGATGCAAAGTTTTCTAGAAGCATCTTCTGATTACCATCTCCCTTTTCCTCACTACTCCAGTTAAAGACCTAAAACTTCTCTTTTGGGAGAGGATATCACGTTTGTCACTGCTAAACTGCAATTCTAGAGTAATTAAAGTATGTTGGCATATCTCAGACAAATGGGACCTGAAGTCTGTTCCCCTGCTCCCCTCAGATCTGAGAATTTTTTCCCTCCCCACCACAAATAGTTATTAGTCTAATTGCTATTCTGCTATAAACGAACCTCTTCTAGAGAGCTGATAGCTGTGTTTATACACCCACGCAGAACAGGCCATGCTCCAGAAACACTATGCTGCATGAAACTCATATCACTTATGACAGAATCCTTACTGCAGATTAACCCTGGTCTTTGACTACAAACCAGGCCACTCCTCCTCACTCAGCCATTCTAGTCTGGGACAACACTTCCTCCAGAGCTGAAGGCCGGGTGCCCGGTGAAGCTTTCAAATCCACTCTCAAAGCACAGACCTACACAGTCAAACCTACTGCTTTAATCCATGATCTGGGAAGACTGCTGTAGAACAGCAGATGCAGAACATCCCAATATAATTATACTGAGGAACACCACCATGTTTTCCCCTTTCATTCAAATCAATACATCTGTTAACAATTTATATGATTTCCAAAACAAAAATTTTGGTGCATTATACTAATAACATATTAGGAACCAAAAAAGGTTCCAGAATACGTTAACTTGTGCAGCTAAACTTAATGGCAGTTTTAACTGCCATGTGTATATAGCCACACAGGATTTTACAGCCAGCTTCATTGAATTTTAAGACTAAAGGAGTTAAAGTTTATCCATTTAGTACCTCTGTGCACAAGTTATTTACTATAAAAGCATCATTGCATAGGAGAAATTAAACCACTGCCTATGAAATTTGACAGCATCTTTCCTTTGCAATCCAAGAAATTTCCCAAGGCTTAATTAGTAATTCTGTTTCACAACATGACTGCTTTTCCCAACAAAAAGGTAGCCTTAGCCTGTGATATAAAACATTCTTCCAAAAGTTATGTACTGTTTGTCAAACTAGAAGCAAAACTCCACTGCAAGTTTAGGTTTCTACACTGAAAACAATTGGTGGACCAAGAAAAATCTTACCGCTGCATCAACATTAGCAGGAGAATCACCATTGGGATCTGCCAGCATAGAAATAACACTAATCATTATAGTTTCCACTGTGTGAATGGGAAGCCAGCGTTCCTCAGGTTTTTCATAGCCATATTTGTCTTCTCCAGGCTCATGAAGAATTGAAATGCAGACATCGCCATTCTTGTCAACTACAAAATAGAACAAGGCATATTTCAGTAATGAACAACATGCTGGCATTTCCTCAGGATAGTTATGGAACCGTTCATCTTCACTCCAGCTAGTCTGAAAACACGTTAGTGAAGACATTTTATAAAAAGGAAAGTAATTAACTATTACAGAACTCAATCTGTAATAAATAGGGCTTGGTGGAAGTCTATTATTCTGCCTGGACTTCAGGCAGAGAGGGCACAGGGGGAGGAAGAACGTAATTCTAACATCATGCTGCAACTTACAAGACTATTTAGATAGGCTTCCACTACAGCTTTTTCTGTTAAGTTCAGCAAACTAGAGTGATTTTTTTTTCCCCCCCACAACAACAGCATCAGCTGGATATTACTGCAATATATTGGAATATGATTTAAGCTGCTGGAATTAGAAACTGCCAGGCAAGTACTCTGATATTTCCACAGCTGAAACTGACACGGCATCAAAATATTCCTCTGTCCCTTATGATGGGAGCACAGTGCTGGTCTCCTCCCAGCTTTCAACCTCTACAATTACAATAACAACTTCAGAAACTGAAGAGCATTCCTCCTTCCCAGTAAGAAACTTCTTCCATTTTATTTACTTTCCATCTGTGTCCAGCAGTCCATAAGTAAATGAAACATTAGGAGTCATCTTTGGAGGGACTAAAATATGCTGTTATTTCCTTTCACGCTTCACCAGAGGAGGACAACCTTGGGCCTTCTGTATTGAACTGCCAAGTTAGTAATACTAAGATGAAATATTTGAAGGTATAACAAAAGGCAGCTATGGAAGGCAAGCTTCTCCTCAGATCAGAATTCCATGCTTCGGGAAAAAAAAAATCCCTGAACAGTTACCAAGAATTCAAGAAGCTACTTTCAGTAGCTTCTGAAAAATACTTTAGGAGCAGTCTCTCAGAGCAGCACTATTAAAAATTCTGCCATGGTTATTACTTCTTTATGAAGTGAAGATGGCAAAGTAAACACAGAGTTTCATATTTCTAACATGAACAGAAGTGTATTTATTTGTCTTCACTGCATTTTAGTTCTTAATTGCAAAATGAAATTGAAACTTTGACATTTCTTACCATTCGGATGCCAGATTTCTGTGATGAATTTCATTTTTGGCGGCCTCAGTGGATAGTCTTTTGGAAAAGTAAGATGAGCCTTGAAAACACCACCTTCACTGGGGAATCAAAAATATCTTAGTAGAGTTTCTTGTAAGCTTAAGCTGAAGATTGGAACTTACTGATATATCAAAAGCTCTAAGTTTACCCCTCACACAGCTTAACATCATGTTAGTAATTAACAGTACCATCATTTCCATACGCAATGCAAAGAGTTTCTACATTGAGAAGATCCTTTCACAGGATACTGCCAGTTCCCCAGTACTGTATCTTTTTTAGAATTAGGATGATGTTCCAGAGGGTAAAAAAACTCAACATACACACACAAAAAAGTAAAAAAAAATGCCAAGGAATTCACCATCTGGAATTACAGCTTACTTTTTTTCCCTCCCAGTACATTTAGTAACAGCAGAAAGAGATATTGCCAGTAACTCCCTTTCTCAAGTACAGCCCAGTAGATACCTGTTTATCTTCCTCCTTTAGACACCTCAGTCCTAATTTCTTGATACCAGTCTGCAGCAGTGTACCTCAGTGAAAAGTTACACAAAGCTTTCTAAGTTGTGCCTACAGCATTACTTTGTAAAAAAGACTTCCAATACTACCTTTCAACACTAAGCTAAAGAACTCAGACATGAAAGTGAGGTGTTCTGCATTAGTTACCCACTAATCTGGAAAACAATAATAAACAAGACACACCCATTTTTATGTGGGGTTACAGGCCCATATATTAATTAATGTAACAGTTTGTTAGTTGGGTGGTTTTTTTTAAAAAATAACTAGATTTCAATATCTGGGAATAGTCCCTTTTGAAAAATGTGAAGGCCTATATTAAATGGAAAGCCTTATGGATGAAATACTTCACTAATACAAGGGCAGTAACAGGGCAAACGTTACAGTAATTTCTTGTAATTGAAATTTGTAAAAAACTTGAAATTGCAAAGGCAGATACTACAAAAACTGGAACCTGACCTCCAAAAGGTGGCACGAGATGTGCAGTATGACAAGCTACTCCTCAGTAGCCATGCAGACAAAAGAGTTGGTGTAGAAAAGACAAAGCCGTTCAGTGCAATTCCCCCCCTGCATTTGTAAAGGACTAGGAGCCAGTATCCAAAGCCTACAGGCTACTGAGAAAATAACAAGTTTTACCACCACTAACTAAAGATGTGCAATTCTAGCAAGTGTCTCAAGAAATCCCCAAACTCCAAAAGCACTAGATCTAAGCAACTAGGCTCTTAAAATAAAGCAGCTGAGGGGGTCTGAACCCACAGCATTTGTTTCCCACAAGTTTTTGAGAAGGCAGGCAGTTTTCAATGGATTCTTGATCCTGGGAAGGGTAAGAATTCCAGAAACACTGTCTATTTTAACATCCAACTCTCCTTTGCCTTGACTAGTATGGATTACATTTGTTGCTAGCCCCAAACCAGTTAACAAAACTTACTTTCAAAGTTCTTCTTTCCCTTCTTAAAGGAGCAGATCCTAAAGCTACTAGACAGTACGACATACCTGGATGCCCCTCGTCAACTATATATAAATACAGCTCTTTAATTGGATACACATTAGAAACCAGTTAATGAAGTACAGCTGTCAATTAAGGGAGGTCAGTGCCATTTTTAGCAATATTCCTGACAAAGGGGTCTCTGTCAGTAGAGTCATGCACTGAGTCCAAAGTCTTTTTAGATAAACTCAGAATAAAGTGCGACCAGGAATGAGACTAAAGCTTGAAAGTTTTGAACGGCCTGGTTAAATTAAACAATTATGTTCTACTGTCATCATAAAACAGACCGGGGAGGAAGGATTCAGTATAATACTACCTTGAAAAGCAGTAACTAGGGACTGGAACAGAAGAGCTTCTTATCTAAAAAGCCTCAAAACAAGCCCAGCACCTTATTAAAGTGGGGAAAAAAATGCTATTGCAATTTTTAACATATAATAAGAGGTTGAACTAGAAGCAGTATTTCTTTACTGACAGTATTGATAAGATGGCCATGAGAACTTAATGGAACTACAAGACTGTTCAAAAGAGGTCAACACAAGTTGGAGAATTCATCTCATGCAAGACTTGAGAATCACAATGTAGTGAGCTTGAGGAGAAGCAAAGCAACTTGATTACTGTCCTTAAGTACTTATTCAGAAGTCTGCAGACAGAGACATACAACAACTTCATGTTGGAACTAAAACTGACCTCAAGTAAATGTCACTAGGCTTTCTGTATCAGTAATTTATCACTGGAACAGCTTAATGAAGTAGAACAGAGTTCATCTTCAAGAGCTACACTTTAAACTGATCTCTTCTGGGCATAGAACCTTTTTCCAGGAGCTAGAGTATATGATCCTATATAACATCTATGAGAAAGAAATCTCTCTCACAATTAGCCAGAGTTTTGGTGGTGGTTGTTTTTTTTTAAAAAAAAAACAACACACAAACAAAAAAATCCAACACCACCACATTGCATGTGCCAGAGTGCTTCAAGTATAAAGCAGTACAAAACCACAGTGAACTTAAAGTCTAGGAAAAGAAGTTACTGTATGAACTCCATAGTTTTGCATTCAAATGCCAATTAAAGAACCCAGTCCTTAGGATAAGGATACAACCTTTTTACAGTCCACGGTGCAAGGTTTGCCAACAATTCAAATTTGATCAACAATGAAGTACTCTAAGTCACACTAGGAAGTTCTCCCATCTCAAAGTGACAGGATTTGAGGCTAATTCTATGGCCTGCTGTAGTTTTCCTACAATCACCAGCATGAAGTTGTAATGGTTTAGAACTGTACTATCAGCTAAACTAGAGCCTCACAGCAGTAACAACAAATAATGGATTATTACCTGCCTTACTTAAATGCATAAGAAAACAGAAGCTGCCTCTAAGTATAGCCTATTCTCATTTCTACACAAGTACAAAGGGATCAGTGTTGCATTTTCCCAGGGAAGCAAAGCAGTTCAGAACTTCTATATAGCAAATTCAGCTATTTACAGGTATTTTACTAGCAACAGAACAGCATTACCTAACTTGGTCAGTATGAAGATTTAGGTTAACTTCTCACTTAGACCAAACTAGAACTAGTAAATCCAAGTTCACTTAAGTTTCTGTATAAGCATCAGTACTTACTATAGTGTATCTGGAGGACCAATAATAAGGACTTCCCATCGATAAAGATCATTGTCATCTATTAAGCCCGCTGAAAAGCCTTCCACTGGATTTTTGTTGAGCTCTGTGTAGGAAAAAGAATTTAAGAATGACTTTAGGTGTCTGATACACATTTGCTGTTTTTGCTCATGCCTCTATATGTGACCAAAAAACCCCCATGACTTTCAGTGATTTGGCACGTGCTGATGGACTTATGGCCTGGGTGAGTATCCTCAGCTCCCTACCGCACATAACAGCATGCTGCCAGAGATGAGACCCACACTCTGACTCTAAAACTAAGTACATCATGAGAAGAAGGGCCAAAATAACTCAGAACTGCAGAACATGGTCTCCTAATCTAGATACCAATAGGTGTATATACAAGTCAGAAAACAGATTTTTCTACTAATAAAAAAGCCATACTGCTTTATAAGAACCCTGAGGAGACAGATTAAAGTCTATCTTTAACTCTAGAAAATGTTAACAGAAGAACAAAGTCACACTATGCTTTTATTTGAAACTAACATCCTACTTCCCTTAAGTGATTTTTTTCAATCTGAAAGCATTTGAGACCTGTGCCCAGTGCATTCCAGAGATAATGATTTACTATGTTCTGAACTACTAGAAGAAAGCATAGAAGATAAGCTGTTATGCTGTTTAGGCTTGGGGTTTTTTTATTTTTTCCTTTTGTTTCAGTTTTATCCACTAGTGATAAGCAATAGAGGATTTTATGTTTATAGGCTACTTCATATAGTTACTGGCAGATAGAAGGCTTATCTGGAAATAGCTGTGCAGCAGTCCAACCTAGATGTAGACTCCACTGAGTTTCTGTTTTCAGCCTGCTCCAGGAAAAAGCATAAGAGTTGGAAATAAATACCTCAAATGAGTTCTGCCTAAAATTCAACTTGGGGGTGGAGGTGGCAGAGAACATCTCTTAAGCAATACCTTCAGGTCAAAACCTAATTTAAATGCCATATTGAAATTCCTGATTCAGCATTTCCAACAGTACATACAAAGTCCTGACAGATCTTGGGTATTTAGGACAGGGGAAAGGGAGAAAGAGTTATTCCTTCAACTGGTTGGTTACTTCCAGATTAAGTTAGGGATTTTTTTTGTTTTGTTTTACAATGACTACTGCACTTATTTTAAATCCTGTCAGACATTATACAGCCCTCATTATTATATTCTGCAGTACAGTTAATCTACATATTCCCTTATCTGTAAATCCAATAGCTGTATTTTGTGTTGATTTCTAGGCATTACAGACTTAAGCTCAGAGGTCTTTATAATGCCCTCAGGTACATGCAGAAGAACTTCAAGTGAGGGGCTTATACCTTTATTGAGAAAAGGCTACCATTAGGTCCAAACTGATTTGCCCATAAGCTTGCAGTCACTGTTTGCCAGTTAAGTTATTAACTATGAAAAGCATGGTTTAAAAAAAAAAAAAAACAAGAAGAATCAATTCAAGTCCTACAAAGGAGAGTTTAAGTCCATATGAGGAAAAGAAAGCGTTCAGCTCACACGAAGGACCAATGTCCTGAAGAGCTAGATAGCAGGAATACCAACTTTGGCCATTGGTAATTCAGAGTCAAGTTTATCCGCATAGATGACTCAATGCTTAAATCTCAAGAAATGCGTTGGAAGGGATTTTCTTAGAAGCTACTCAGTAGGGGTTCAGTCAACAGATGAAGTCAACCATTCATTCTCCAAGTTGCAGGACAAAGACTTAGGTACTGAACCAAATCATGTTTTCTCAAGACAATGCCTGAAACTAGAGGTAATATCACAGGCTATTTAACCAAGACACAAGCTTCAAAACCGACAAACTATAGCATGGCCACACCTCCACTAAGCAGACTGGTTTCATAGATGCCAGAGGGCATCTATGAAACTTTGTGGCAACAGCTGCATGAGCTTGAGTAACAGTTCTATTTAATTTTAGGTGAAAAGGGCAGAGAGACTAGGTGTGCGTCTCACATGAAGTCAGGATTCACCAGTCCCCTACTACCTCCCTACCACAGATACTCCTCGGGCATCAGCTACTAAAAGTTCCAACACATTAGTAGTTGAATATACCTGCTTTTTCATGCAGGATTTTATAAAAATATCTATTGCTTGTGCAAAAGAGCCACCTCTGTTCAGAACACTTAAGTCATCCTTTTGGATATTATATTAGTATTGTAATACAGAATATCCAGTATAACTACAGAAGTCAACAGAAAGAGCACAAATATTAAATTTCAGTATCTTACCTTAAGACTTTCAAATCTGAATTTAAGCCTCCAGAACACAAGTTCCCTCATTTCTGCATTTCCACAGGGAAAACACGGTTTATGCCAAGTTCGGTGTAAACTGCTATAACTCAAGCTACTCACATTTAGCTTCCTTATTGTTTGCTAGTTATCACTTCTCACTGATAAGACTAAATAAGCCTGCCAGAAGCTAAGACTCTGGCAAATTCAGCATGCTTCTCTCTAAATATGCCACGCTATTTTCAACCCAACATACACATTTTCTTCTCTATTTCTTAATTCATGCTATTTCCATTTATTTTTGCATCTGTCTCAGCCTCCAAATAACTTTTTTTTATCCTTAATTCCTTTGAAACATTTTTCATGTACTTATTCCCAATGAAAGCCAGCTCTTACACTCTGACTCATACCTAAGACTTTGCAGCACTATATTGCAAGAGATCTTGTGAGAAGGAATAAGATTGCTGAATGCCAACTCTTGTAATGCAGAAAGCCTGTAAACTGTATGAAGGGGACAGTCATTGACAAAAATCTTCCAGCAGTTATGGAAATTTGCTCAGTGGATGTCTCCTATAAAGCAAATTATGATGTTACGTCTTTTAAAGGAGGTCTCTGCTTGTAAAAGGTTCTCATTTTCCTTCCACGGTAGCAATACTGAAGCATAGTTCTAATAGCTACTGCTTGCACAAGTACTTTGAGGTAAAACAATGGATATAAGCTCAGGCACCTTCTCCACTAGAGGTATTTAGAATTACCACAGGCAAGTTAAATAATCTGGATGGAAAAAGGTCATTTTATGATAAACTGAACATCAACTAATGGCTAGTTGACAGACAAAAAAGGAAATCTCAGCAAAGTTTTGCACTAGGACATGAAAAACATCATCCTTGGCTGCTTTACCATGGATAGCTAAGAGCTGCTTACTTGTTAAAACTTGCAAACACCGAAGCCTAGGGTTTGTTTGATTTGGTCCCCCCCCGCCCCGATATAGCCAATGCTGCAGATCAGAAAAGTTAACTAGTGGTACCATCTATCTCTTCACGAGTTGAAACTCGCACAGTAGCGAAATCCATGCACCAAAATCCCAAATGAATAGCAATGCTAATATAGCAAGAAAGCAGCGCGCGCACACATACACGATGCTCACAGGAGTCAGCTGCTAGGCAGAGGGACTTCTGCCCACCAACCAGAGCCTCTAGTGACACTGACACTGCGCTCAAGAAAATGAGACACCTGTTCTCTGCATCTGTCATTTCTACCAACTACAGTAGTTAACTCCTTGTAGCCTGAACAGGAGTTTTCCCAAGATGAACACATGGATGGCAAGTATGCTTCATAAAGCAAAGGATTCAATTCCCTCCCCCAGGCAGGGAGAGGGAACAAGCCCTTTGTGCAGGTCCTCTACAAAGCCCTGTTGAAGAGCTAGCCTACAAGTCCTGGAAAAGCAGAGAAGTCAGACACCTCTGAAGAACTGAATCCCTCCATGTTATTTTTTCAAGACTTAGTTTTCCTTTGAGATTTCTTGTTTAGCTAAAGATATCCTGTACTTTTTAAATGCAAATGAGTATATTAACACATTTCTGTCATGTCCATGCCTAAATAAGTGCAATTTACTTGCTACTATATATTACACACCATGGTTCAGTATTTCTGCCAATATTTTTTGCATTTCTGATTTTTTTTTCCCCCCTAAGAAGAGAAATTTCTCTTATTAAACTAGTTCTTACATTGACTCTGGAAGCAGTTTCAGGTAGAGTCCTTTGCAGCTCAAGCAGCAGCTGACAGCCAAAGCAGCACAAACCTGGACAGCAGCCAAGGAGCAACATACCAGGAAAGAATCCTGTGGCTGCTTATAAATTAGACATTCAGTGCCTTTAATCCCAGTCCCAAATCAATATGTGACTTGGGAGATGAGGAAGACTACAGTCCCATAATCCAACAGAGCTGTTTAAGTCCAGAACTGACTTTAATGGCCAATGCCTTGTCTCCCGCATGATCTGCCAACACAACACAGTGCTCCTTTAGTGGTTTAGCTCTTACTAGAGCAGAACTAAGCTACCATTGCCTTAAACTTGAGCCAACACACTACCATAAGCTGTGCTTCCAGTTTCAGTGTTTAGTCGACACCAAGCTACTGATGTTCCCACACTCACTAAAACTGCCTTTATATAAGCCAAGAGACTTTCACCAATCCAAAAGCAATACGGCGTCAACAAAAATGACTAAGCAGAAACAGCCCCATGGCTACATGCAGCAGCTATGTACGGCATCTAAACTTTTCAGCTTGACGTTTTACCCAGCCAGCCACTGCATGTGAACACTTCAGAGTATTTTAAGCTACATTACAGAACAAAGCTTTCAAAAATATAAGCTTCTACATTATTTTTAATAGCAGCCTCTTCAGTAAGTTATACAGTGGTTGAGTTTTGTACAGTCAGTGGACTGAGTCCAGCACAAAAAAAAAAAAGAGACAGGACAGCCCAAATCCTAGTTAAGGCTTCTGGAGAAATCATCTAAGCTGACTTACATGCAGTTCCCAGAACAAACAGGTATGGGCCATATCAGAGCTTTACATTTGCTATGCATTAGGCTTGTTTTTCTTGGTTGCCTTTTGTGACTCTCAGCATTAGTTCAGGAGCTTCTAACGACTGTACAGACTGAAAATCCTTGTTCTAGACTCTACTTCTCCATACCCCAAACCATGACTTCCATGTAGTTTTATTACCTAACTGAGGTCAGTTAAGATGTCCAAGACTTTCCTTTCTGCCTGCATACCCAGCTGTAAGTCTATGATTCCAGAAGATTAGGGCTGAGATAATGGTAAGTTAACATG